GGCCCTTTGCATTGCGGGAAACGCGCAGATTGTCCGAAATGCTGCTGCGCGACTGGCTGCGTCTGTGCCCAGCTGTGAAGAGGCCTGGTGAACTTCAAGCAGCGTTGTGAAAGGTCATAATATGAAAAGATACACATAATATCAAATAGATATTGAAAAAATTACGTATATATATATATATCATATCATCTTCAAATACTGCCAAGAAGTAGTTAAAGCATGTTAACCCATTAAAACATGATTTTCCCTCGACTTGTACACATGCCGGCACATACAAATGCACACATTATATCACATTATCGCAGGAGATCACTGATTGGTTGCTGGACATGTTATGCAGCCGCCCATTTGTGTTCAGCAATCGAGGTGGAGAAAGAGAAACCGGAGGCACAGCCTTCTCGTGTCTCGACGTCCACTGGGACACACTGTCAGTTCTTTGGAAAAGGAAGAGGCTGTCTTGGAACATATTTGTACATATATTTGTACATACGTACACACACGCATATATATATATACAAACATACATATACTTATAATATATATATATATGCATGTACTCGTATGTTGTATATAGTACCTCTTTATATGTTTGAAATGTACCTACTGTATACGGGCATTTATGTATGAATAGATACCTACTGTAGCAGGCGGACTTTGATAATAGACAGACATAGAGGGTTTATTGTTGAATTGGTGATGTGTATGTTTAAATCGTTTATATATTGCAGAAGCACAATCCTGATGCACCCTTCATTGAATGAATTCCTCAATTTCTCCTTACATATACGACTTGGATGAGCTAGTTCCTGAGTGATAAAGATACCCCTCCAAAAAGAATAGCTTTTTTGGGGGGTTGTTGCATCAAAGCATGCCCAATGCATTGCATGTATCACCCAGGGCTGAGGATGAATCAAATATAATATATTTAATATATTTCAGTATATTATATGCTGTTTACATTTGATATCTCTTGACTCTTGATACTCCCCGTGGCCACCACGGGTCTATTTGGTGCTGACACCAACTGATCAAGGCTTTGTTCGAAAGCGTCGCTCCTCCTTGTCCTCACCAATGACGGGTGCTGTGGAACGCAAGGCGCCTTCCACCACGGTGGATGGAACAGCGGTCTCCGTTGCTTGGCATCTCCACAGTGGTAAACCCAATCATGAACTACAATAAACGCCATAACTACCATCTCCAATAGAGGTTGATTATTAGGTATATGATACCGTATGCCCGTATTTGAGGATGTAAAATGACCCAGAAATGGTTTGTTGATGGGATGGTGTATTGTTAGAATCCTTCGCGAAGCCCTGACAAAAAAAATAGTACACCTCTTGGACGGCCAAGGTGACGATGGAGGTTTTGCCCAAGGGCGCTCTAGGCCAGCGACATTCAATCTCCATGTGCATGTGCAGTCAAAATGAGCCGGAGACTGACATCTCATTTTCCAGTGCTTGTACAGCCCATGCTTGATTTGATTGCTGCTGTGGACAAGAATTTAACAAAGTTTGAAAAGTAGGAGTATGAGGATGCCAGACGCCAAGAGAATCTTGGTCCAAGACGAACCATTCGAAAATGCTGCGCCCCTGTGTGTCGGAAGGTTTGCCACCGCCATCATTGCTTCCAGCCTGGTGGGAGGAACTGGGTTTAGTTCGGAATGATGTCTCGATCGCATCACGTTGAGGCATGGGGACATGGCGGGGGACAGAGAGGAACACAGTGCCTGTTGTGACAATCAGTGCCTCAGGAGTATGCAGTTACCCTACAATCGTACAGACCAACCAGACAGCACTCAAGCTTGAATACAAATGAATACAATGCCTGCATGGCCCCGCCTTCACCTTTGGACCAGGAAGCAAGATGTAGACAACGTGGAACATAGCCGAATTTGCGTCAGATTCTAGGGAAATTGGAGGGAATAGTTTCTATGCCAAGGCTCACCATCCTTCATTTCTGTTTTCATAACCTGTGGCAAAAAAATAACCTGTGGCAGGTTTGGTGGATGCTCGGGGGAATCCAATGTTCAAAGCGTATCAGATTGCAGCGGTTCGCGCCCTGCCTTTCTGCCATTCCATGGCATGTATGCAAGAAGATATATTTAATTTAGATTCTTCTGAGGCATGGTGGGCTTATCATTTTGCCATTCTTGGCCGATAGGCAAGGAGTGAACTGTTTAGAGCTTTCCAACAAGGGAAAGCTGTAGCTACTGCCATGCTATGCTTAGCGTCATAGCGCGATGCTATTTTCCTTGGCATTGCAGAGCCCATCCGAAGACTAGTAGTTGATTACTCGAGACATGATATCCCTTGGTGGTTGTTTAGGCATGATGAAGGGTATGAAGTTTGCAACAAGCATGGTCAATGGATGAACATAAATCTATCATACTCTGGCAGGTCTTTGGCTGTTCAAAAACTCAAAGCCAGTGCAAATCAATGCAAATCATTGCATTGATAGCTTTGTAGAAGCTACCAGCCTGCGCAAGTCTTTTGAGGGACCTGCAACTTTTTGATGGGTGTCCAGTTCTGGCTGATTCCAGATGGGCCTTCTGCAAGGGCATGGCTTCAAGGTCACCCCCCCAAAGGGGAACATGTTGGCCTTCAATGATAATGATCGCCGGAGTCAAAGCCGTCGATGAGAATTTAAAAAAGCACCTGCTTGAGCAGAATTGCCAACACCGAATATACTGAGTCCGACTGGACATGGACATGGTCTTCAGAGAACTGTGACCTTCACGGAGTGCTCACTAGTTTTCATGTTCATAGTCGTGGTTATTGGTTGCCGTCGATGACGCCAATGGCATTGTACTGGGAAGGACATGGAAGGACCACCCATGAATGATCGACCCAAACTGCCAAAGAACACACGCGAGATGGATACTGTAGATTCAGCAGAATTTCCAGTCAAGGAGAAAATATATAGACTATGATTTGGCAATTTCAGTGCTAAAGCGCTCTTGCCACTGCATTCCTTTTGGTGTGTAAAGTCTCCTCAATTTTGTCGTTGGCTTTGGCCCTGAGCCCTTGACCCAAACACTGCTTTTGCGATGGACCACAGCCGCATTCATCAGAGTTCGCGTACAAGTTTTCATCAGGTCCTGAGCAGCACGAGCGTCCATATGACTTTCAATCCGCAGTTCTTACTTCCTATGTCCCATGAAATGGCCGATGGCGGTGTGCACAAGGAGTGAGTCAAAATGCAACAGCAACTAGAATTACTAGTTAATCTATGTTAATCTACTTGCTGGTCCCTGTGCGCGTTGTGCAGCGCTTGTAGTCTTTTCTGTCGAACTGATTCGGGTTTTGTTCCCGGAATGAAGGAGGAGATCTTTGGTAAAGAGGATTAAAGAGGACAGACTGAGCAACAGAACCGCCTCCAAAGCTTGGGGCGATGGCAATGGCTTTGGCGCTTCACTTCCCCCGTGGGGAAACTCTGGCCATACAGGGCAGGCACATGATGGCACTTCAATTCTGCGACAGGTGTAGGGAGAGATTTGCAGAGAGTTCCAGAAGATTGCGACAAAGGCAGATTGGCCAAACCAGTACAACGCTGTATGATGCTGTATGAATGTGCATTCAGCCCCCAAAGTACAAAGTGTTGCAACTCTGTCTGCCGGAGACTCCCTAAACCAAGTGTGTTACAAGTTCAATCTTTGTTGGTCCTTTTTGGATCAGGGCTGATTTGCCATTTGCTTGCACTGCGTCGGTTGGGCTTCCATATTGGATCCCTGGATGGTGGTTGAAGCGGCGTTTGATTTCTCCAACGTTTTTCAACATCATTTACAGAATTTGCCTTTTGTTGGAAGTGGCATGTGAAGTTCTTTGACGCTGTTTAATGTACATGTTAATCTTGTTCACATTTTCAGTTGGCAACCAGGCCCAACTATTTGGGATTCTCCTGTGGCAGGCCGCACGATCCTTTGGGCAGACCACGGTGGAACGTCCCAGCCTTTTCAAACCACACATACCGAGCGCGTATATTTATGTGACAAATTCACGCGGTGACATATGTCGACAAGATAATACATGCAGATGCTGTTCATGTATAGCTTGTACATACAGACCACGACAAGAATTGAGTAGATCATGCGTGTAGCTGTTGCAGCAGCATGGATCAAAGGCCCAGAAGTTGGCGAGAAGCTCTTGGGCTTGTCTTGCTTGTGCCTGCGCAGTGTCAGGCAGAGTTTATGCCATGGCATGCACATCGGAATATCATGGAATATCAATGTGTATCAATACCTGCAACACACAGATATAGTACTGTAGATATGCATACACTTCATATACGACATGCATATGTTTTTCAATATGAATGTGTGTGAGAGTTACATACATATAAATGCATGTATAGCTATTGTATACACACAACCTGTATGTGAGTATGTTCAACCTACCTATGTCTATTTGCATCATCAACTTTCCTAGGATAGCAACAATTCTGCAAGGATCCTTCTACACCGTTGTCGGTGTGTGGGTCGGTGTGGGTGTTCGGCACTTGAAACTTGTGGGCCTTACGAGAAGCATTCAAAATATTAAAAGGAATGGAGAGTAGCAACTGCAGAAAATCAATATGACTTTTCAATACTTTTCAATACATTTCAGCTTGCATGTTTCCAAGCATGCTGGATATAGACATGTCCCAAGTTGCAAACTCAAACGGCAGGCTGCAACTCTCGTCGCTTGCGCGCACGAAGTGCTGTGGCCGTGTTCCTAGCTGGCCAGCAGTGTTGAAGCGCATAGGGTCTTAGAATGTCTTAGAAAGGTTCATCCTGGAAGATTTGCATGTTGCAGGACTGTTTGACTTAGGCGGCTTGCCATTTACTTCATCAGAACATGCAGAACATGCAACGCAATTAATTTTTGCCATTTTGTCATGCACAGAGCTCCATTCATACGTCCACTGTTTCTGTCTATGAGTCTATTGTCTTCCTTTTGTGCTAGTCAACTGATGTTTTTGTGGCCCGTTTAGTCGCTTGGCATTCGCACATATTCGCACGCTGCAGCATACGGCTCAAGCCATGCGTAGCGCAGAGCCAGCTGAAGAAGTGAAGGAGGTGAAGGATGCGAAGGAGGTGAAGGAAAAAGATGCAAAGGAGGTGAAGGAAGTGAAGGAAACAAAGGAGCCCAAGAAGGCGAACACTTCAAACACCATGCTGTTTGAGATAATTTTTGTATGTTTGATCTATTTAAAATGAAATGACAGCATCCCACAGCACGCCAAAAGGCATCGATATTCTCAACTAATTCAGGTGGTTCCATAGCTGTTCTTGCAGGCTCCCCTGCTCGAGAATGACCTCACCGCCCCAAAGCAGAAGCCTCCTGAGAAAAAGAAGGAAACAAAGCCTGCTCCGAAGAAGCAGGACTTCGACTTAGCGCTCATGCCATGGGGATAGCTTGGTTGCACCAACAGGGATGGGATTGCTCCAAACGAGCCGCCACAGGACCCCACTTTGACAGACGAGGCACCCGTATTTTTGCGTTGCAACTTGCAACAACAAACCTGGTCAAACCATGTCAAACCCGTGGTCCTTTGGCTTCATAGATATGCTTCGTTCGATGACCGGTTGCTTCGGTATCAAGTGAATGTTGCCATCGTTTGCATGTCGAACGCGGGACAATAGCGGCCAATTGAACCAACTGAACCTGCATTGGCAATGGTGCCATTGAAACTTGAAACGCTTCCGTGTCACTTGATCTTGGGCCAGCTGGCAGGTGGTGACTCAAATAGCACAAGCAAAATATGAGGCACAGACATCGTCTTGATTTCAGACTGAGACGGACAAAGTGGTACTTTAGAGCTTGGCGCACATGGGTGAAGGTAGCACTTCATAATTCTGGCTAGACTGCCGGTTTCGAAACACAGTCCAGTTGGGTGACAGTTATGGGCCAACCAAAGAGAATCGCGAAAGTCACCTAAAGTTCTGAAGCAGCTAAACCCGGTTCCCTGATGCACTGAGCAATGTCAGAGGCACAAGAAGACAAGCTGAAGGATGTGGCACGCCATTCCATGGCGCTGATCAGTTGCTCGGTAGCCAATGACCTGGAAAGGTTGAGATCCAAAAATATCCAAAGTCTTCCACCTTGCATTGCTGTGCATGCCAGATTCAACCTGCACGGCGCGCGCCGGACTGCATCATGACTTTCAGGAGACTTCAACAAGATGGATGAGCAGGATTTCTTTCGTAAGATCGCTGACATTCAGAACCTTTCTGGCAGCAATCAAACATTAATATACATTTGCAACATGATCAACATGTCGCCACTCCCCAAAACTTACACATGATTATTCGTTGTGCGTTGTTTTTGTTCTTAAGTTGATTTTCGCTCTAGCATGCTCTAGATACAGTAGCAGTAGCATATTACAGCTTGGACGTTGAATGAGAAAATGCAGCTGGAACATTGCTGTCAGTTTTTCATGTTTTTCTGAAGTTTCTTTTCCAGATGAGCCCCCTTGCACAAGTGCAATGACTCAGGAGATGTTTGGTGAAGTACGAGATGCAATACATCCGGGCTTGGGAGATTGAAGAAAAACGTCGGCAACGCGAAATCGCTGACCTGGAAGCCATGCGTTCACGCTTCCAGAAGGCCTGAAACATACCAAAATTGTTTGTTGTTCGTGCATGGTGATTAATTACTCGGTTGAGAAATCTCGGACATACATGGACATACGCTAAAAGCAGAAACCGTTTGAATCTCAGATCTTCCCACCAATTGGGCTTCCATGCGGGACAAGCTATTATTTGCACCATTACTGTCATGAGGAAGGTGAAGCGGAAGAGAAACAATTAGAAGGGCAACGCGAAGTCTTGCAGAAGGCCCAGGTAAAGCGAAAACGCTATGAGGGCCGCTTGGCTGCTTCGATTCATACCATCAGCATCGTGGTTTGCAAAGAATGGAAAGACTCAGAAAGACTAAAAAACTGGGTTGTGAGATGACAAAGCAATGGCGCGAAGCGTGGGGAGAAACGGAGTGCAGTAGAAATCAAATCACATCAACACATTTCTTTGCAGAACTGCGACAATGAAGCATTTTGCACCTGTACTCTTGCTCACAGACACAGAGACGCAGACTCGCAAACAGTTGCGAAAATTGATTAGGCTGGGGGTCTTCACAGATCGGCGAAGAGTAAGTCAAGTCAAGATAGTTCAATGAGGTTTGTTCTTGCACGGCTACCCGTTATATTATATTAATTTAATATACATAATATATACGTGTTATAGAATTGTTTCTCAACGTGCCACATCCGCATTCAGTTGCCAGAATACGACAAGCATACACTTTTTGTTGAACACACATATATATATATACACATTGAACACACGCGAATTCACATGTCAACTATATCGTGCAGCATGAGGATGATGACGATGGTGATGATGATGATGATAATGATGATGATGATGATGGTGATGATGGTGGTGATGATGATGATGACGACGACGACAACGAGGGCGATGCTCCTTTTTCCACACACACTCACCAACATATGAGCCCACACCAACATATTAGCGTGACACAGGGAAGGAACCATGAGGTTCATTTGGATCCAGAAATTAGATCCTGCTCCAGCAATACTGAGATGAAATAACAACAAAAACACGAACCGATGTGGGTTTTCCATGGTTTTCCCGCAAATTTGGGTCGCTTTCTATGGTTTGACGGTTTTGCCATCAGCTGTCAGCTGTCAGGCTATGAAGCCTTGGCAGCCTCCGTGAACACCAAACGGCCGCAACATGATTCCAAGGCTAGGGCTATGAAGGGAAAACAGTGACGTGTTTCAGGCTCATAGGTGGCCAAAGGTGACCGGCATGACCCCGTGGTTTCAGGAAAATCTATGAACATCTGGGAAAGAGGATGAAAGAGGAATGATCAGATCTGATATGATTTGATTGTACCACTTTATATAGATTTGTTGAGATTGAGTTATTTCTTGGTGTTGGGATCTTGGTTTGGTTCTTTGCCACCGGATGTCAATGAGTCAAATGTAATTCCCATGCATTGCTTAACAGCTTTCGTTTTGGGCTGTAATGTTACAAAGATGGAACCTTCTCAGCGAATCCATTTTGTTTTTTGACTTCCTTGTCCACTGATAGCACAGACTCGAAGGTGCAGATAAACCCCGGTCTAGGCTTCAGTGCGCAGATGCAGAAGGGGTGTCGGACCTTCAAATGTATGATGTATGTGTTATCTCTGTGCTTCTTGAACGCTGATTTTTGGATGGTTACCCGGCACAGGTGAACTCCTATGAAAGAATGATATATTTAAGATTTATACATACGTGGAAGAATTTGGAGTACAACGACAGATTCTGTGCCTTCCCTTGCCTTCCTTACTTTATCTCTCACTCTTGCACCAGCTGCACCTGCTCTTCCACAGTCAGCTGTCAGCTGAGTCAGTTGAGCTCGACAGGAACTGATCCACAAGTTGACCTTGGAGCTTCAGAAGATGTCGCAGCAGCAGAAGCGCTTCAATGAGATGTCACAGCTTCGCGATGAGCCGCTCGATGCAGTTAGTCGATGTTAGTCGCCAGAATCCGCAGACATCAGACAATCTTGACTAATCTTGGAGGGATGCGAAGGGATGCGAAACGGAAGTAAGTGGAACATATGTAAGTAAGTCAGAAGTAACATAAACAAATTTAATGGAACGTAATTAGTGGATATTAGTGGAACTTTCCTTTTGATTTTTTGGGTGAGAGTGATTGCACACTGCTAATCTGAAGACTTTTGGTGTGTGGGTGTGCTGTTTGTTCCTGCTGCGTGTGCGTGTGTTTTTTGTGTCACAGATGGTCACAGACGTGTTTTAACATGTTTTAACGGTAGTACTTTTTCCCCGGGGATTGTTCTTTGATCTTGTGTGCCTCTTCGTTTTCCTGACACGATTGTTGGACTTGGTCTTGCGCTTGACTCCCGCAAGCAGCTTGCTTCGCTTTGTGTGGTTGTATGTAGTTGTTGCCGGAGATTGTAGCAAAGCCAAGCACGCCAAGCCAATCGAACCCTTGCATGCGAACTTTCACACAGAGACACAGATGCCTAGATTCTAGATGCGGAATCTGCGCGCGGAGAATCTGTGACACATGGTGCATGTCTCTCAAAGTGCCAGGCGGAGCCGAGTGCTTGCCAAAGCTGTTGAAGAGCTGGACAAGGAGATACACCATGAGACATCGTTTGAATCCATTTGATCCAGAAAGTATGCTTGATATTGCTTGATTCTGCTCATGCCATCCCCGATTATCCACGACGTTTCCGCACCGACTGGGTTGCGCATAGTTGATTGAGTCGCCAGATCATTGGTCTTGAAGAGAATGCCGCACAGACCTGGTCCAAACACATTGATGAGCCCAATTTTGAAAAAAATAGTTTTAAAGGTGAAACTATTTTATTATGAAGTCTTGAAATGCTTTTAAAATAGTTGAAGGGGGTTCAGGGTTACTGATGAGGCCACTTATTATATTATATTTGTTTGAAGATGTTGAATTTTGTAGACTGCTGCCAGCATCTCTAAACATCTAAATGTAGCTGTGAGGACTTCCTGGCGGAGCAGGAATTCCGAGAAGAGAATTTTGGGCCGGACGAAACTGAGGCGACTTGACACCCGTTTCGTTTCGTCGGGTTCTTGCCAGGCTTCTTTGGGATCTTAGACAGACTTCAAAGATCTTGTAAGTGTGGGCTCCAAAATGACATTGGCTGATTATTGGCTGACATGTTCTTGTTCTTCATGGAGGCATCATCCAGGATGTGATTTTGCCGGCTTTGTTTGCTTATTCCTGATTCGCTGCAACTACAACTTATAGCATGGGTTTTTGCTGGCATACCGTATTTGTGTCATTTTTTGTCAAATAGTAAATAGTAGTGCATGACTTTCTTCATATGCTGTCTTATATCATCTGAATAGAAATTGCGCAGTGATGCAAATTGATGCAAAGGGATGCAAAGGGTGATTTCATCAGATGTTTTCAGAATGTTTCAGATCGTTCCAGCGCTGTTTTCCTCCCCAGCATGGCTGTGATTGCAGCAGGCCATTGACAACGGCAACGGAATTGTGTGTGAGCAGCCGAACGGAGAACTTGTGGAACTGGTGTCCTGAGCATGCTACTATGACAAAATATATATATATACCACAATAACATATGATACCATATGATAAATGAGTCCTTTGTGATACTATAGATGGAAGACAGGTTTATTCTTTGCATGGCGCATGGTACTAAAGATTGTATGCCACAAGCAGAAGAAGGCTCCCAGTGTTGCGATTGACTGCCATAGCTCAGAGACTCAGGAAAATCCTGAGTTGACAATGTGCCAAACCTGAAGGAATCTGAAGGGAAACTCATGTTGAGGGCTTGTGAAAACATGGAGCCAATGGGAGAGGGCGTGGTCGATGTTTTCCTTTGCAGCCAAGTTTTTGCAGATGAGATATAAAATGAATTAAAATGATATAAAGGACTTTGCTCGAACTTTCGCACACATTTGAGTGATGTTGTACCACAGAACCTAAGGCAAGAGATGGTGAGATTGGACTACAGGCAATGCGGTCCCATCATGTCTTAACCAGAAAACGGCATGGGACGGCATGGGACGTCGGTAGGTGACTCATGAGATTCGTATCACTGCTAGACTGCTGGACACTGCTGGACACTGCTGGACACTGGAGATATCGGAGATATGGAATATGTTGGGGCAATGCGGCAATGAAACATATTGAACACACAGCGGGTCTAAGTAGGTGCAGTTGAAAGCCTTGCCCACAGCCACACAAAAGGGAACAAGGCCTTGCACAATTTTGAGTGTGAGTAGCAGATGCACAGACCCAAGAATCACCCAAGTCAAGTAACATCAAGTAACTACGGAAGTAACTAGTTAGCGAAAAAGCTCAAAACCAAATGATCCAAATGACAGCTCAAGGTAGCAGCCCCTCCAGTCACCAGTGAGGCTGGAGATGGCTGGAGCAGAAAGCCATGTCAGTCTCTTTCTGCGTGTTTAGCCACCGGCATCGATGTCTAGAGACTATGATAGACTACGTCTATGCGAATTACATGAGAGAGAGGTCGTTGCATGTAGCTGCAGCTGCCAACATCATATCTTTGGCAAGTCGGCAACTGCGATTTCGCGACTTTCGTTAGATACTGCATTTCTTGATATTCCTTGCTTGCCATATATGTACGTACATATATGGGAGCCGTCCAAAAACACCAGAAAGGTTTTTAGTAAAGGACCTATTCTCGCATTTTTCCCATGGTCTAAAACCTGCATCGCGCAAGTTTCGCGCAAGGGCGGCCCAAGGTACGCGCAAGTACTATTGTTATCATTATTACAAGTACTATTTTTAGTTAACATTTTGATTACTACTACTACTACTACGACGACGACGACTACTACTACCACTACTACCACTACTACCACTACTACTACCACTACTACTACTACTACTACATTACCACTACTATTACTACTACTACTACTACTAGAACAACAACAACAACTAATACTACTACTACTACTACTCCTACAATTACTCCTACTACTACTGATACTACTACTACTACTACTACTACTACTACCGTATCTGATTTAGATCTTAAATATTAATATCTCGAGTTGATAAACATAGATAACCAGGGTGGTAAATAGGCCATCCAAAGAAAAAGGAGCAGATAGATAGATAGATAGATGAATAGATAGATAGATAGATAGAGATAAAGCAGCCAACGCGGTCCGGAAGACATGCAGCAGCAGTCCGGAGATGGTGAGCAGGAAGGTGTTTCAGAGTGGTTTCAGACCTCTTTTGGGCTTGTTTTTTGGGTACCCCCAGCTTTGGGAGATGAAAAAAGAAAGAGAAAAGGTAGAGAAAGAGAAAGAGAGAGAAAGAGAGACAGAGAGAGGAAGAGGGAAAGAGAGAGAGAGAGAGAGAGGAAGATGGAAGATGGAGACAAACAGAAGGCGAGAGAGAGAGAGAGAGACAGAGAGAGGAAGAGGGAGAGGAGAGAGAGAGCGTTGTAAATGGTGAGCAGCGGGGTGTTTCAGAGTGGTTTCAGACCTCTTTTTGTCCGTAGGCTACCTCAGCTTTGGAGAAAAAACAGGAAAAAACGGGAAAAGAAAGAAGAGAAGGGAGAAAGAGAGGAGAGACCAAGCAAGCACCCAAAACGTACTCTAATTGTAGCCATTGTGGTCCGGAAAGACCTGCAGCGGTCCGGAAAAGCAAGCACCCAAAACGTACTCTAATTGTAGCCATTGTGGTCCGGAAAGACCTGCAGCGGTCCGGAAAAGCAAGCACCCAAAACGTACTCTAATCGTAGCGATTGCGGTCCGGAAAGCCATGCAGCGGTCCGGAAAAGCGAGCACCCAAAACGCACTCTAATTGTAGACATTGCGGTCCGGAAAGATGAGTACGTTTTGGGTGCTTGCTTGTCCGGACCGCTGCTCATCTTTCCGGACCGCAATGTCTACAATTAGAGTGCGTTTTGGGTGCTCGCTTTTCCGGACCGCTGCATGCCTTTCCGGACCGCAATCGCTACGATTAGAGTACGTTTTGGGTGCTTGCTTTTCCGGACCGTCGCACGTCTTTCCGGACCGCATGTGTTTCAAGTACAATCTGTTTTGAGCCCCTTCTTTTGGATGTCTTAAGAACTAGGTAGCCCCATAACCGCCCCCAAAAGAGGTCTGAAACCAGTTCGACACATCTTCCTGCTCACCGTCTCAAGACTTCTTCTTTCTCTCTGTCTCTTTCTTCCTTCTCTTCTTTCTTTTCCCGTTCTTTCCTGTTTTTTCTCCAAAGCTGAGGTAGCCTACGGACAAAAAGAGGTCTGAAACCACTCTGAAACACCCCGCTGCTCACCATTTACAACGCTCTCTCTCTTTCCTCTCCCTCTTCCTCTCTCTCTCTCTCTCTCTCTCTCTCTCTCTCGCCTTCTGTTTGTCTCCATCTTCCATCTTCCTCTCTCTCCCTCTCTCTCTCTCTCTCTATCTCTTTCCCTCTTCCTCTCTCTGTCTCTCTCTCTCTTTCTCTACCTTTTCTCTTTCTTTTTTCATCTCCCAAAGCTGGGGGTACCCAAAAAACAAGCCCAAAAGAGGTCTGAAACCACTCTGAAACACCTTCCTGCTCACCATCTCCGGACTGCTGCTGCATGTCTTCCGGACCGTGTTGGCTGCTTTATCTCTATCTATCTATCTATCTATTTATCTATCTATCTATCTGCTCTTTAAATGTATTTCCTTGTATGTTGTGTTCAAGTCTTTTCTGTCTGTAAATTGTTCTTTTCATCAAGGTCAGCTAGACCCCCCGAAGGGGTCTGAAACCACTCTGAAACCGCTCTGAAACCACAGAAGTTCAACACGTACAGAGCTACTTCCCGGTACTACTTCCCAGTACTACTGTGTTTACAAAGCTTGCACAAAGCACTTCCCAGTACTACTGTGTACTACAAAGCTTGCACAAAGCACTTCCCAGTACTACTTTGTACTACAAAGCTTGCACAAAGCACTTCCCAGTACTACTTTGTACTACAAAGCTTGCACAAACTACTTCCCAGTACTACTTTGTTACTACAAAGCTTGCACAAAACACTTCCCAGTACTACTTTGTACTACAAAGCTTGCACAAAGCACTTCCCAGTACTACTTTGTACTACAAAGCTTGCACAAACTACTTCCCAGTACTACTTTGTACTACATGGCTTGCACAAACTACTTCCCAGTACTACTTTGCACTACAAAGCTTGCACAAAGCACTTCCCAGTACTACTGTGTACTACAAAGCTTGCACAAACTACTTCCCAGTACTACTGTGTACTACAAAGCTTGCACAAAGCACTTCCCAGTACTACTGTGTACTACAAAGCTTGCACAAACCACTTCCCAGTACTACTGTGTACTACAAAGCTTGCACAAACCACTTCCCAGTACTACTGTGTACTACAAAGCTTGCACAAAGCACTTCCCAGTACTACTTTGTACTACAAAGCTTGCACAAACTACTTCCCAGTACTACTGTGTACTACAAAGCTTGCACAAACTACTTCCCAGTACTACTTTGCACTACAAAGCTTGCACAAACTACTTCCCAGCACTACTTTGTACTACATGGCTTGCACAAACTACTTCCCAGTACTACTGTGTACTACAAAGCTTGCACAAACTACTTCCCAGTACTACTTTGCACTACAAAGCTTGCACAAACTACTTCCCAATACTTTGTACTACAAAGCTTGCACAAACTACTTCCCAGTACTACTGTGTACTACAAAGCTTGCGCAAACTACTTCCCAGTACGAAATACTAAGTGAATACTAAATATTTAACATTCGAAAACAAGTACGAGAATAATGATGAAAAACAAGTGAAATGATGAAAGTGATCCGGGAGTGTGGTCGCGCAAGAAACGCGCAAGGTTGGCGCAAGCTCGGCCCAAGAGGCCTTTGTGGGAACAGTAATTTAGGACAACCCCCATATATATATATATATATTTTTTTTAAATTACACATATATTTGTATGATTTGTATGTTTGTTTTACACTTGTTAGGTGGCTACCTCACCCTACGAGGAAGAGCCTGGTTTCCAGGAGATCAACCAGTGCTATTTTTCCCCATCGGCAGTCTCTTGCATTCTGCTGCCCAAGCAGTAAAAAATCAAACCCAAGCACTGGCCAGTTTTTCCAGGAAGCAGTGGGGGATGTGGAGTTTGCGGACAGTGTTGAGGCCAGGATGCTGCGAACTCGCGAGATCTTGCAACCTACATCAACCTACACATTCCAATTACAACACTTACAACACACAACACGTTTGGAAGAAGACGAGACGCAAAAGCTCAGGTGGGAGCGGCGGTGGTGAAGATTTTTGTTACAAGACAACGCCCAGCTCTAGTGGTTCCATGGCAGTCTGGAGCTCAAACAGCCCACTTTGCGCCAAGTGCATGCGATGCAGTTTCCACATGTTTCCACTATGTTACGCCTTGGCCTGGAACTTTGGCAGACGTAGTGGTATGACAAGGAAGACATTGGTGAGAGAGATGTCAACTGTTTTCTTTGCCCTCTGAGGACTCAGCAGGCTCAGAGTACGAGATGACTCCCTGTGTGATTTAGCTGACTGCTTCTGCATTAGCATGGAAATTTGTTTGCTTGTAGATCCGGAAGACGCATGCTGAGAAACCAATTGATGTGAGATAGAGCATGTTTTTTCCTTTCTCTCTTTCTCTCTTTACCTCTCTTTATCTCTCTCTCTCTCTGTTTCTCTCTTTCTCTCGACTCTCGCAACTCTGCAGGTTGAGTCCACCAGTGGCAGTGGGACCTTTATTCGGCGGCGTGGCGTTCTGCTGGCAGACCTTGCTGGGCAGATTCCTCCCAGCATTCCCAGATGTGACACGTGTGACATGTCACATGTTGTATCCTGTTGTGGACCCCTTCCGATGTGCCACATCCCAAATTCAGTAAACCAGTCTTAGCATTATTCAATTATCACACCAGCTGTGGTCGCCAAATGTGGCCAAGCTCGGAATGAAAAGTCACTATAGACAGAAACAAACCACATCCCCCTAGAGCAATCCCTTTGCACTTGGGATGGTCGTTGTGTGTTGTGTCTTGCCGCATTTTCTGAACTTGTGATGAGAATCCTCGAATGCCAGGCTGGTCGTATGGATGAACACGATGACCACGACCCTTTGGAGTCCAAGACCCTGGACAGCTATCATACACTGCAACGCAAAACCACGTGGTTTTTCTATGTTTTTCTTACGAACAAATCATATATCACATACTGTAATACAATATATATATATATAATATTAATATACTATACCATAACAGAATATAATATATTAATATTTATATAGAGATATAGTTATAATGATGTTGTTTATATACTATTGCAGCAGGATTCATTCACTTTGGGCAAGAATCATTGACCTATTGGCACGTGCATTTTGACCTCTCCGACAAGAGGGCTGTGCACCCAGGCCCCCATACCTCCACTTCACGGACGTTGATCAGGCCAAGCCGCAGACGTTTGGTTTGAGAAAGTTGCAGAGTTTAATGAAGACCGGACGACAAGACATTGACAAGATAACATAAGATAACAAGAAATGTCAAGACTTGATGCTTTGCTGGTAGTGCCAGGATCTGGGACGATCTGAAATTGCTTGAAACAATCTTTGCTCTGTTCCCTGGCGCAGGCGGTTGAAAACTTTGAAGGAGATCTCGTTCTAACAGCCGCACATGTCGTGGCGGATGCGCGTGGATACCGAAAGCATCAGATCAGATTGCAGGTATCATCGGTACCATGTTCACGCGAACACATGTGGTGCGTCAGAATGTGCATGTGTGGCGTAATGACATTTGATGACATTGAATACTGTCCGTGTAGTGGCGTAGTAGTGTTGTTAGATGTTGTTAGTTCAGGGGCGAGGCCTTTCTGTTCATCAGTTGTGGCTGCAAGGGTGACATGTTTTGGTATGAGGCGAGACATTCGGGTACAGCTTTTAGCTTGCCCTGGAGCTTCACCAGATGCTCGTCTCATTTGGCCCCATTGGGCCCCATTGCCACCATTGCCACCATTGGACCCCTCAGATTTCCAAGGATTTCCATCATGCCTGTCATTGCCAGAGTCAGACCCATCCACATTGGCCTCCTTTATTCTTTAGAAGTGTGTCCGACCAAGAAGCTAAGGAAAAGTTCATGGCACGGGTTGTTGCTGCCACATTCTCAGTGTGAAGCGCACACACACACATACACTTTACATCACTTTACAGAGTATATTGAATGGAATTGTGCTTTTGGACGCTCTTGGGACTTGGGACATTCCTTTCCGTCGTGAATTGGGTGACACTTGCGAGAGTTTGCTAGTTACTTGCAGAAGGCATTGGTTTGTAATTTTTGGTGATTCATTAGTCATTGGTGATATTCGGTTGGCTGAAAACAATCACCGGCTGCTTCTATGGAATGTCATGAGCCCCCAGGTGGCACATGATTGTGATTTGGCGCTGCTGGAGGCCCCTTCCACCGTCCATGGTTTGACATACCCTTACTGTACATTGTGGCGGGAAACCGGTTTTTTATGTTTCTTTTTTCTCTTTTACCTTTCATTCGTAAGTGATCGGGACCTACCGTTTCATATCATTACATATCATTCATTACATATCCATTCTGGCTGACGTATGTGTTTAACGTATACATATGGTGTGAAGCAGTATGGTGCAAACATGCAGTCACTAGCATACATGCATGTGAGTTGCACTAATATCATGCGATGACGCAATGCAATGTAATGCCGTGTGGTACATCTGTTCAAAATTGACTTGACGTTGCGCATGTTTATGTGCTGTAAGCACCTGGGTGTCTGAGCAAGTGTGTGTATGTGTGCGTGTGCACTTGTTACTTGGACCATTCAGGACCCACATGCATTTAGATCTGGCTTGTCAGGAGTCAGGGCTTGATTCTATCATATTCTATCATATTCATTCATATATCATATATCATATCTGTATCTCCATCTATATCATATCTAAATCTATTCATATCTCCTGAATCTCCTGAGCCTCAGTTGAGTTCTAAGCTGCTCAAACTTAGGGCGAAATCTTGTGAGATCACCCTGCCCTGAGTTCACACGATTCGTTCGGTACAGGTCAGGGACCCTGACTGCTTTGAAGGCGGGGCTAGGGACATAGAAAGCTATAGAAAACTGCTAGATTTTTTTTTTGGGATGAGATGATTGACAGAGAAAGCTGGCGATTTGATAATGTAAGATGACCACATAATTGTTTATCAGTTGTGTGTAATAGTTGCAACTTGTTTTCACCACTTTAAACTACTTTGATTCGTTTGGTCTTGAGACGTGGCTGGGAGAGGCGCTACACCGATGGAATTGCTGAAGCCCCAAGAGATGCTGGCAATGCAGTCGAGGGTACAGGCTTGCCATGGCTTGCCTTAAATGTCAAGGATGTTTTCTTGTTCCTTTGGTTTTGTTTAATGTTTTTGATATTTTGTTGTTGCAGTTTCTGTTGCGGTTTTCTGTTTCATTTTCATTCTGTTGGACTTCTGCTTGTGCGACGCTGTCTTAGAAAATGGTTTCCAGCTGCAGATCGATGTTAGCATATGGGCTTCCAGAGCTGCCAACTGGCAGGTCATGGGCTTTCCCATTGGAGGGGATTACTTGAGCATCACTGAAGGTGTTCTTTCTCGCATTGAGGCAGAGCTGCCTTGCATGGCCCGGGCATAGGGTGCAATGGGATGCATAGGGGGAGGTTCTATGAGCAGGATTAGGAGCTACACGACTAGTTGGACTTGAGCTGAGTTCTCTTAAATTTGCAACAAGTATCAACAGATCCTTTTCTATTCACTTGAGCCATCTTGAGCCCAAAAGCATGAAACACATCCTAAGTTTCTGATGTTGGACCTATCACCGTGCCCAATCGCAGTTCAGTTTTTGCTCTGGGTGCTGCAGCATTGCTTACAGGTTGTTGACTATTCCCATAGCAGAAGGTCTTGCCCACGACTTAGCAACAAAACAGCCTTTCCATATACTGAGTCTGATGAGGAGCTTTGAGCATCTCGTGCCATATTTCTTTGGTATTATTTTGTTGTTTATATAGTTAATATTTTTCCTTCCACTTCAGGTTTGGCCTTGACAGTGGACGCTGCCATCAATGCGCCTTGGACAAACACAAGACCTGGCATACGAAGACTGAGGTCTTCCAGGCTTCACCATTGAAAATACAAAACTCTCAAACGGATGAGAATGAGTGTGCTTGAACATGGCAGAGAATCGATTGCCATGAGGCTGGAAACAGTGGTGGACCAGTGGTGGATCCTCTGACTGGGCGGATGAGACTTGGCATGTTCGGCATCTTTGAGGGGGCAGAAGGCGGTGGCTGGACATGTCATTGACCGCACGCAAGTACTCTCCCTCACTCTCCTCTCCCTCACTCTCCATCCTGCTTGATGCTTGATGCTGCTTTGCTTTTTGGCCTGGCCTGGTTCTAGATTTTTTCCAGCTCCGTAAGGACTGGAGTTGCTCACCAAAAGGCATGCTGGCACAGGGGCTTGGGAAGGGAATCCCGGAATTGCTAGGTCCCCTTGTTCGAACAAGCAGTCTTATGGTGCTCCATTGTTGTCTTTTGATGTTTTTTGCAGGTTGGTTTCGGTGACAGACCTGCGTGAACCGAAGAACAAATTCTTGCAAACATGCCTCAAAGATTGAGTGTCGCCGACCCATGACGAAATCAATCACCATTGCAGACTATGCTTCTTTCTTATAAGGGGGATGTTGCACCAGGTGTTGATTTGATGACCTATTTGCTCTCTTCGCATTGTTAGGACAAAAGGATGCCAGGATACCTCTAGCACAGAACCAGGGTTTTGATGGATTTTGGGTATGTGGCCCTTACATGAGTTTCCTAGGTCCTACAGTTCCTACAGTGTACAGGATTTTTTGTATAATAGTTTTGTATAACAGTTTTGATCGCGATTTGATAAAATGGGACTTGCACCAGAAGCTGCCCGTCCGTGAATTTACCCATTCTGTAAGAATACCCACAGGATACCCGGGGTGTTGCTTAGCCAAGGCGTTTGGATTTGTTCGCTTGGTCACCCTCACCAGGTTGTGGCCCGTGGCGTCGAAAACCAAGGGCATGCAGTACCTCCATGTCTGCACCTTGGGATTCGTGTTCGCAGCTCCGGACTCACAGGGTTTTGCGTGGTTTTGCCATGATATGCCTATCCATCCTTATCCACTACAGTCACTACAGTCAGTCAGGTATATTATGATATATTCAGATATCATTGATATCATCATACAGTCAGAAGCTATAAATCGCTGTGAAGTTGGACAGTGCTGGCCTGGCTTTGAGGTTTGATATGGCAATGAGCCCAGCGGTTGCCAAAGAACCGGGCTTTTTTTCGTGTGAAAACCAAGGTCCATTTTTCATTCATGGCCCATTTGCTCCCAAACTCAAGGCGATTCCTGTATGCAGCACTGCATGGGAGACCTACTGAAATGCCGGATGCCTTGGATTACTCTGCGAATGTAGAACAGCATTCTATGTATGCCATGTGTTTTGCGAAGAAGTATGTGAATATGTTAGTGATTCTTGCTGTCGGTTGCATCCTATGGGCCATGGAGAGACGGGATGTGAGATGTGCAGAGAGGAAGGGCAATTCCAGTTTGGTCATGACTTTAACCATGGGGATTCAGATGCACGGCAACAGAAGGTATGGAAGCCTCATGAAGCCTCCAAAGTGTAGGAATACAATCCGTGTGAGGTCGTAACGCCATAATTACTGGATTGTTTCAGGTTGTTTGGACCAGGGCGCCAGCCACAAAAGAAATGGTTGCAGTATGTTGCAGTGGATTTACATGGATTTACTGACTAATTACAAACTGCAAGCCCAAGGGATTCAGAAGTGGTTGATCGATTTGAATTCCCTGAGTGCAGTCTTATCAACAACACGTGGCGGCTGAGGTCTCGAAATGCCTCATCATGCCTCATCAAATTTAGCCTCATAGAATCATGGCATCAGAGCAAGATGGTTCAAAGCTGCTTTGATGTGGCCAGTTTGTGCAGGCCTGCGCTGGGCATTTATTTGCAAACCTTGGCTAGTCACTCAGGGATCCGGGCATTGCTTGAGAAATCTTTGAAAAAAGTACTCCCAATAGCTCAAGAATGTTCCAGATGGCCTGATGGTTCTGTTCAAAGACAGATTCGAATGATGTGCGGCACAACTCACTCTTTTTGGCTCCTGTTAAAGTGAAGAAGTTATACTTGCAGAGGAATATAGAGGAATTATCATGTCTGCAACACTTGTGGTACCGTAATGTGCTTTGAGTGTTTTGTCTGCGGTAGATGCAGTTCCCTGTTCTCATTTTGGCTCAGAACGAGCTGGGGCAATTGCAGCCCCAGTTGTGGCCAGCCCTTTGTTGTCACCTCTAAATAACCACATCATTATCAGTAAGCACCACTCAATGAAAACAGCAACTTGGTGCTTAAGGAGATCCCTTGAAGTTTGATTTCACTGCTTGTCCTCGTTTGGTTCTCGGGTGTGGCCTTTCAACGCTCAACGCAGTGTTGACCATCCCAGTGTCACATCGGAATGCTGTGTTGCGGCACCTGCGACAGTACCATGTCTGCAAAGATCATTGTTACTACAGTGCGTTCTTAGATGCTCTTAGACTAATTTGAAATTTTATATCATTTATCATATTGTCATATTGTCCCAAGAGTTTTTTTCACAACGCTTCTGTGATTCGGTGAGTCGTATTTGTTGGCAGGAAAATGGAGGCTTGAGACCAGCAGTCTGAGGCATAAACGGAACGCATGTAATGCTGAACCACTTGCCATCGGATTCTTTCAGGGTCGGCCAATACCGAGGATCAGCTTTAGGCGATTTAGGCGTGAGACCTCTCTGGGGCAAAGACATGTGTGCTGCATGTGCTGCATGCATGTGAGAGCCAAGGCAAAAACAGACATGATGAGTGACTCTGATGCAAACTGTGTAGCCTGCGTCCTCCACACTGGGTGCTTGTGTGATGGTGTTAGTGTGTAGTGACAGTGCAGCCGACAACTAAGGGCCAACTTCAATGAGGCCTGGGATGCAAGTTGACGGAGGATCAAGCACAACACATCAATCCTTCAAGTTGACCAAATCACCACGTCCACGGTCAACGGGATCCAAGGGGTGCGTTGAAGTCTTGCCTCTACAATTTGGCACAGTATGAATATAGAGTTGAGTACCGTCGTTGCAGCATAAAGTGAACACGTGTAGATTAATGGAACGATGATGATAACGCGGATTTATGCGGATTTACTGTATATTAATATAGTATTTATTATATCATTATTATATATCTGCATATACCCGTGTTTTTTTCCGCCGGATTCTTCCCACCAATCAGGGGTTTGAAAGCTAGGTTGAAGCAGCGGATAGCAGCGGTCAAGTGTCAATGGGGTCCATAGCCTCACAGCCTGCTTGTTCTGCAGGCCATGTGTGGAGAAGTTACACCAGATGCGGACCCAGCATGGGAATTGTGTGCTGATTGTGTGCTGAACACCCGGAACTGATCTACAGAATCTACAGCCTGCAACCTAGCTAGAGTCAGGCTTTGGAGCCTGGAAGATGCGCAGAAAACCGTGAATTGACTTGACGCCGCCAGGACACAGCATTAGCAGCTGGAGAAAGGACCACAGGGCGGCGGAATTCACATCAGTGGTGCCACATAACGCGACGGAGCAACCTGGATGTGCCATATTATACAAATCATTTACTGTAACATCTACAAGACATCATTTTGTATAAGAACTTGTGAGCGGCTGACCCAAATTTGTTTTGAGAACAGGATGATTAAAGTCTTGGCCCCTTCTTCGGGCACAGTGTGTGCAAAAGAAATTGAATGTGCTTGATCTCTATGTTGCACCAAGCTTATCCAAAGTGCTGGAGTCTTCCAGAGTCTTCCATGAAAAAAAACGCATCACATCGCATCACGTTTTGCAGCTGCGCGGCTCAAAGTGGGTGGGCGCCATGTATCCGGGCAGCCGACGTGAACGGCCACGACTTGACCTCAACGAGGTGGGCTGGGGCTGGTCAGGAAAGGTCAGGAAAGGTCAGGAAAAGTGAAAAGACCATAATAAAAGAGACAGGCAATAAATGACCTCGTTGTGCTGTTCACATGTTTTACCCCTCCTTTCCGTTTTTAAGTATCCACAACACAGAGCACCCATAGAGCACCCTTTGCTTTCAAAGGGCTTAGCATTCCAGGATTTGACCTTGTTTCAAGCATTGAAAAGCTGCCAGCACGTTATGAATATTTCAGCAACCAAAAATGGGTTGGCCTGGCCTGGTCTGCCAGGTTCGGCTGGCCCAGTCTGCAAGTGCACCGCAATTGTGTGTTGACTGCACTGGCACATGGATGCCCACATAATCTTTCATAATCTCACATATAGAGAATTTGAAGCATCAAGTTGACACAAACATCACAAACTGGTCTAAACAGATTCCAAAAACAAATTCTAAAAACAGAGTCAACACGCACAGCAGGAAGTTCATGGACATCATTTATCAGAGATTTATCAGAGGTCTAAGTCGTCATTCAGCGCGGGGCAGCGTTGTTCGACGCCTTCCTGGGCCAAGGCATGCGACACCCAGTGCAGCCGCAACTGCAGCAGCTCGCGCCGAAGTCGAGGTGACTAGCTTGTGCTTTCAAAGTCTTTCATATAAAGATAATTGTAAAAATATTGTAAATATATATATATAATCATGATAGATATAGTACATTATAGTACTGCAATATATATATATAGTCATATATAATGTGGAAAATAAATCTCTTTTGATATGAGAGATAGGGTGATCTAATATGATCTAATTGGGCTACATCCACCTCTCATATGCTGCATGGCCACTGCATGGTCCATCAGTCGAAGGTGTCGATGGGAATAATTTCGCGCCCTTGCCATCGCCCATCGGTTTTTGCGAATTACTGGGTAGCAAAAGACATACCAGACCCTGATGCCACCAGCAACCTGCCCAGAATGCAATTCTACAAGCGATGCTTGAACGACCTGGTGCATCAAGTGACTTCACTGCAGATAGTTACTGTTTAGATCTGTTTAGATCTGTTTAGATCTGTTTAGATCTGTTTAGATCTGTTTAGACTTAATGTAGACGGTACCCGGTAGACTTTCTGTTATGCTTGCCTGTCTGTGCGCATCGGAAGACTTGTGTAGAATTGTACTTTCAAGTCACTGGGTTGTGAGATGCCTTTGGTCAGCGGAGTATTTTTGACGTATGTTCATTGAAAGAGGGTTTTGAATGTAGGCTGGTTTTGTTTTGCCGGTATCTCTAGTTCCCAGTAGTTTCTCAAAAGTTGTACATGCAGGATCATGCAGGATTCTAATTTTACATTTGGCAGGAAGGGCGACACAAACAAAGCATAGCATGTGCAAGTGCCGCTTTGTGGATGAGTTTCACTTGTGGACAGGATGCATACTATATAAGTTACTGAATCATGCTGCTGTGGTCTTCTTTTCCGAGACTAGAGACTGCGCACGGTTAAGGTCGACCTAGCGACTCAGCGTTAGAAGGGCTCCTCCGGTTCAAAGAGAAGAAGGAGGAGTTGAAGTTGAAAGTGCCTTGGAAAGTCTTGGAATCACATGTTTTTGAAAGGTTCATCCCTGCACATCCAGAACTTGGAGGTTGAACTGACAAGAACCAGATCCATAGGCACGATTGTGAGGCTTGGATGGAAATGCCAGCACATCTTCGACCAGCGCCAAGTCCCACAGACATGGGATGCCCCTGGGCTGAAGAAACTTTCGAATTTCCGAAGCTGGTGATGCAGCCGTTTTCAGGTCGTTGGCATTTCGGCATTTCGGAAGGTTTTTGCATGATGTTCACAGTGACTCCAGCCGCTCTGAAAGCCTCAGGTCCTCCAAATTACGTGACAGAAACAGCAAGAGGACACAACCAAGAGGTCTTGTGAGTGTCGTTTCTCATTCTGTGTGATCGGTTAGGACTTTGCTAAGCATTGCCGCATTGCCCCAACATCAGCATGTCTTTTGGTGGGGGACGCGTGTTCCAAACTGAAGAAAGCCTCCAGACAGGATTTGTGACCCACATTGGCAGGACTGACGCTTCCAGTGCAAATGGCAGTAGACCCAAAATGGTCAACTGACTTGAAGAAAATGAACGAGAGCCTTGGGCATCTCCAAGTATTTTTTTTGCACCCCAGTGAAAGCTGATGAGCTTCTAATTATGTGGCCTACAGTGGCATCCTTAAAGTGGAGACGAGAATTATGCTGACAATCCCAGGAAAGTTGGCGCATGTATCAAGTACCAGGCCAAACTTTCATCATCAGTGTGGCCTGACAAATTTGGTGCGGCTGGTGCGGGCTTTGTGAAGAGTTCTCAACCGTGTTCTCAACCTCCATCTGCATCCATCTGCTGGAGTTGCCTGTGATTTTCCACTTTTGTTGTTATATCCAGACATATCCATACATATCCAGACTCTCATTCCACACCTAAGGCCTGGGCAGATTTCGCCAGAGCTTCCTTTCATGTGGAGGAAGGTGCCCTGACTAAGACACCTTTTTTTGGTTGCCCTGCCAACTGCCTTTCCACTGGGCTTGGTCCAAGGACTACCTATCCAACCCACCAACACCACACTTCGTTGCTGGTCGACGTCCTGTACATCCAGCTGACCGTCCTCTGAGAGTTTGATACCGGGTCTTGCTGGACCTACCATTCCAACATATTCCAACTCAAGTCAAGTTCGAACGATTACGTGGCCCTTCACTTGCATGGCGGGCATAACAGAAAGTAAGAAAGGGTATGAAGGGTAAAGGTATGTAAAGGTGATTGGTTGTTGAATCTTTTTCGGGTGATGATTGCTGTTGACTGCTTGCATTTTTCTCACTCTGTCAGTTTCACTGCTGGCTCCAAAGGTGCCAGCAACAGGAAGCGCCAAGGAAAGCATTGAAAACCCAATAAAACCATCATCATTTGGAGAGAACTCGCTGAATAGATGCTGCATTTCGCTTTTAATTCGCCCAATGCCTGTTTGTATCTGTTTGTTCTGATGACCTCGAGCTCGCAGCCACACCAGGAAACTTCATGTTCCTTCGCTTCCATCACAGACGGTCCCATCACCGGCCTCAGCACCTCGACCGCAAGTCTTGACCCTTGCGCTCAAAGAACCGCAAGCTTGTGCAAATTGTGCAATCAGTGAGAACATTCGCATTTTGTTTTTTCATCATAGTGGCGCGGCTAATCGCGGCTATATATTGATATATATATATATTATATAATATCAATGTGATCTAATAGTATTGGATAGCATTGGACTATTGTATGTCAATCAATGGGTTTTATATGATTTTCTCTGAGTTCAATATTTAATATATTAACGAATATACTATATACACTACAACATGCAATAATTTTTGATGCTATTGATAGATATTGATAGATATTGAGCTGGTTTGAATTCTTCTGGGCCAGGCTCCACCGCCACCTGGTGAGCCAACCGCCTTCGCGACGGCAGCTGAGCCGCCGAGCGTCGAGTTGGACAAGTCGAAAGTGAACGCGGACGGCGACTTGGCGAACAGGACAGGACGAGTACAGACGAGTGAAAGGAGTTGGTCGGAGTTGGTTCAAATTTGGCTGAAAGTTTCATAAAGTTTCAAACTGTTCGTGATATGACATGTAGTATCATGTAGTTCTATGCAAGTACCATTCAATTACTGTTAAATTCATTGCAGTGTTTGTTAATGCCAACTCCGGATTAATAAACCATGGTTTATAAATTGTGGGGGGTACCCTCCAAATAGTCACAATATGATACTTAAATGGTATCCCCCCAATTAAACAACCTAGGGGTTTATTAATCCAGGGTTGACATTACTATCAAATCGTAAGTATACTAAATTACAATTCAATTCTACTGTTCATGGCATTCGATTGCAACTAGGTGATAGGCTCGATATGATAGATGCAGTTCTTTTGATGTTCATCCCATCCCTCTTTAATGTCTTCCTTATTCGTGGCCTCGATTTCTTGCATTTCTGGCTTCATCATTGAAAAGGGGTACATATGTTATCATATGTTATCAGATTGATTGTCCCACACCATTTATCAATCCTTTCAACACCTTTCAACCTTGTGTGTCAGTGAGAGCCAGAGTGTTTTTCTGTTTGGATTTATATTCTCCACATGGTACGGTATGGTACGGCTGCCACTTGGCTTAAGTCAACTGAGGCGCGGCGAAAGCAGCGCCCCCGCCGCCTCCCAAAATGTTCTTGCCAAAGTCTGGCAGCACAGTGCAAAACCGCGCTTTGTGGGTAGAGACGGTAGAGTTGTGCTTTGAACATCGGTTCCGTTCACCTGACTTGAGATCTGACACAGGTGGGTCTTGGGAGTTTATGACCAGTCGACCTACAGAGATCATCAGAGATCTACATGTGTACAGAGATCATCAGCTGGGGTGTTTGCATGCAACACTGACAACCCCATACCCGATCGGCTTGCAGTTCTTACAGATGTTCTCAATCTTTTTGAGATTGGAGCTTGCAGTCACGTACTGGTATGATGTTTCTATATGATTTTTAAATTATATATTATATAAATGATGTATATGATTCTGATTTTATATGTTTGCATGGTTTTCAAAAAATGAGGAAAGAAATTGGCCAGTTTTTTCCAAGGCTTGAAGGCAAGATCACCCCAGACCAATTCCGACAGTGCTGGGACATGAATACAAATTGCAACTTGGCAAACTCATGTGTGTCGTTGGTCCCTTGTGGAAGGGATGAGGTTAAGGGCAAGACATGGCACGTAGTCGTGATGGTGGTGAGAGTGGTGATTTAACGGCACCATTTGGGCACCGTATTTTTATTTAGCCTCACAGTAAACACGAAGAATACTTTTGGGTGTTGCCCAGGGATTGCCTATGGATCCTTGACTGGATCATACGAGCCCTTCGCAGAAAGAGTGGCTGGTCTGAATTAAGCAATGTTTGCTGGGGATCTGTCACTTCTTCATTTTTTTAGCTTCGATTTTGAAACATGTGCTTCAGCTTCAGTTTCTGCAGCATCAGCTCAGGAAGTGGAATCGTGACTCGGCAGACGAGTCGCAATCATTTCTGAGCAAGTGCCGCAAGACTGTCTCGTAAATGATCCAGACATGTCCAAACACCGTCATGTTGTTCATTCAGCATTGGAAGGGACACATAGTGCTCCTTTCAAAGTATCATTTCAGGAGGGTTCGGCTGGGTTCGGCTTCAGCTGGGAAGAAGTTAGGGCTACTGAGGTTTGGCAACTGGCAGCCGGAAACCTTGGGCCTCGCATTCACATGCCGGAAGGGGCAAAAGGCTTGGTTTCACACATGCAGATAAAATGATACATGCTGATTGTAAACTGAAATCTGCGGGTCATTGCGACACTTCTACTCAGACCATCTTAGATCTGATGACAAGTTTTCTTATTTTCCTTGCAACCTGGTCACTCAATGCATTGGGGTTGTCTTCACTCTAGCTTTGCCTTGCGGATGCAGGGCGAATACGACACAGCGCCAAACCAAGACAACTTCTCTCTGGCGGAATTCAAGACTCTTGGTCGCAATGGTTACTGGCACAGTCATAGTCTCCAGCCTTCGGAGTGCTCGAAAGAGCTTGAAAGCATTCCATAGCATTCCCCTGTTGCAGCAACACCAAGTGGATTTTATCCACAGTAGCGGAGAGCTCCTGGTGTGGCGGTTGTATTTAGACTCCGAGCGGAATTGGTCGCAGTATGTTTCAGTACTTTGGGGATGCGTTTTGTATCACGAAGCCATGTCATGTTCTCCACCACTTTGTGTGTTTTGTTGGTTGGATTGGTTGGTCTCAGAGCGCTTGATTGGCAACTTGTTGCTTCAGCGCTAGAGCTTGAGATTTACCTCATAAATCAGGTAATAGATAGCATGGTGTGGCGAATCCAAGACCCGTTCTCTCCTGTCCTGTATTTTCGGATAGGTTTTTGCGCACCTCTTCGATCAGAGGCATTTTCACATTTGGATCGAGTGTTTGTTCTTGACTGCTGACGCAACAGTTGGGCAGATCTATAGTCCAGAAAAGAAGTGCATTGCCAACAGCATTTTGTACTTTCTAGTGCTGTGGAGAGGGACTGCCAAGAGGAGGAATCATTTGGACCAAGTGATCTTTCCAAACTAGCAGTAGCCCTGACACGCTCTTCGCAAAATGTTTCATGCGTTGCTTTTTCGCACAGTCACACATGCTTATACTTACAATTATATAAACAAGTATAAATAAGTACTATTCATATCTATTTGTGATTCAACTGAGCACAGACATGTACAGGCTCACTCCAGCCAACTGTAACATTGTGGCCCAATATCATCAGGGGCCCCAGTTCATCCCAGACGGCGTCGGAACGCCATGCCAGCTTGTGAGGGCACAAAGGCGCGTTGAAGGTGTCCGCCTCCACTGGATTCACAGTGGTAGCGGAGCCACGGTCTAAGGTCCAGGGCACATGGCTCAAAGTCACGATGGAGATGAGCAGGGCAACTGGCACGATCCGCCTATGGTTGGAGCGACAACGTCAGGGCAAGCTGCAGCTGCAGGGGTCACTCACACTAGTGGTAACACTGGAAGTGAATCTGTAAATGGGAGTCAGCTGAGGGATAAGGATCCACCACCAACTTACGATGGATCAAACCCAGAAGTTACTTTCAGGCAGTTCGAGAAGAGTGTTAAGTTGTGGCAGTTTGAGACGGACGTTCCTTTGAGGAAGCAGGGTGCCAAGTTGCTCCGAGCTCTCACAGGCTCGGCAAGGCTGGCAGTAGACGACTTGGAGTTTGAGGACATAGCAAAAATGAAGATGGCATCAAGAACCTCCTCAACCGCTTGAAGGAGTACTACATGCCACACCTCGAGGTGTCTTTACCTCGGGCCTTTGAGAATGCGGTCTATGGCCAGCAGCGTCAGGCGAAGGAATCCTTTGCAGAGTATGTGCATCGACTTGAAAGGGCATTTGCACTTCTCTCTAAGGAAGGCGTTGATCTTCCGAAGGGAGCCACTGGGTACATACTGTACCGACAGGCAGGACTCACAGAAGCACAGGATCAACGAGTTCTGACTTGGTGCGAGGGTCGTTACGACCGGGATTCCATAGTCAAGGCGCTGCGGCGCTTGGACAAGGTCTTGAAGGAGAAGTCCTCGAAGGCCAGCTATGCCACGGAAGGCTATGAGGCTTTTGCGAATGACCAGGTGAACCAGTCTGAGGAGCACCTTGAGGACTCCGACCAAGACTTCGTCTACGTTGCCGAAGGGGACTTGGATGGAATCTATGAAGAAAAGACATGCTGGAGGCTCTGGCTTCGTACCGTGAAGTTCGACAGGCTCTGAAGGAGCAGAAGACGAACCGAGGTTTCTTTCCCGGAAAGGGATTTGGTGGCTTCAAGGACGGTGGCAAGTCCAAGGGCAAGGCCAGAGTTCACAAGGAGCAGTTGAAGCTGAGGACGCGATGCTGGAAGTGTGGTCAAATTGGCCACATTAGTGCCGAATGTACCAACAAGGTTGTGATCAAAGAGGGCACCAGTCAGGCATCGAGCAGTGGGTCGACCGGCAAGTCTAGCTTCTTTGTCTCCACAGCAGATGGCTTAGGTGTTGCAGCCGGAATGCATGGAGAAACCTCCCATGACTTTTGGTTGCGAAATTTTGTTGAGCGCAGGGCAAAGACTCGAAACAATTCTCCTTGTGAGGCAGATGCGGCCTATAAGAGCGCGACCATTGGGGGGCAAACTCATCAAGATTGTGGTTTTCATGGCATTGTCACTTGTTCATTTGAAGGGGTCGTCGACACGGCGGCAGAAGGTGGTCTTATAGGAAGTTTTGCTTTGAAAAGACTGCAACATGAACTCAACCAATTAGGGCTATGTTGTCGTTGGACCCCGAAAACTTCTGCGGCAAAGGGAGTTGGTGGACAAGCACAAGTTGTTGGTGTTATTTTGATTCCGTTGGGTCTTGGTGGTATCAATGGAGTTTTGGAAACAACAGTAGTTGAAGGAGATGTACCATTGCTTTTGCCAATTCGTTTATTGAAAACTTTGGATGCGATCATCAACATCCCAGAACACCATGTATTTTTCGGGAAGCATGCAGTGACTGTACCGATGAGAGAGCTCAGCAGCGGTCACATGGTTATTCGAGTCACTGAATTTGCACAGGCAGGTTTCCAGGTACCAGAAGAATTGCAATCGCAGTATGACTTCAGATGTGGCATGGAGGAGCGTGAAACAAATGCAGTCATGCTGGCTCAACAACGCCTACGAACTGGCACCACGAGCCCACGTTCAGTTCTTTCACCTGGTGCCTCTCTTCGACCTGATGGAAGGCTTGGTGAATCGAATTCGAAATGTGGGCAAACCCAAGGCGATGATGGAGCCGACGATTTCAAGTGTTCGTCGGGCCGTGCAGCACTCAACCCCGAAGGCTGTGCGAAACTGGCGGGTGATGTTGGACAAGCTATGCACTTTGCTGGCAATGGTGGCTCTGCAAGAGGCTATCGGAGACTGGTGCCCGCAATCATTGGAGCAGGCATCCTTGCCCTCGTGCGAGACCAAGCAGGAGGACATCTATGCCGAGATCATAGTGGGCGCACCGGCTATGAAGCCTTTGCAGACCAAAGAACCTCCTCCGAAATCAGCAAGCGAATGTGTGCACCCGAAGAACAAGTTGAAGGGAGGTGGCAACAATCGCGCATCTTGGATAGTATGTCGCGAATGCAATTCGAGATGGGAGAGTCCGTTCAGGGCAATGGAGGTGAGGAGAGACTTGAAGAAGGAGAACCTCGAGAAGAGACGGGGCTCTTTGAGTCAAGACATGGGGACCGCAGTGGTTCCAGAGGACATGGAGGTGGAAATGGCTATGGGCGAGGTTCCGAATGTCAACCAGGCCCTCACCTTTGCGGACACGACCATGGACATGAATGCCGCGCAGGTGGCACAGAACCTGGAGTACAAGATGTGGGAGGCCCAAGAAAGTATGAGGGCGCAAATGGAAGATCGCATGATGCAAATGATGGTGGAGTGGCAGAACCAGAGGGCGAGCTCTTCGCAAGAAGATCAACTCCAGCGGCAACAGCTGCAGTCCATTTTGAACGAAATGAGGGAGAAGACACTACGCCAAGAGGCAATGATCCAAGTACTGCAGCGAGGTGCGGTGGAGTCTCCCCCGATGACTGCAGGGCCAATGGAGAGTCAGCGCTTGGAGACCGGCTCAGAGGCCGGGGCATCAACTCTTGCCGGAGCAGTGAGAGCACCGAGTGTCAACACTCTGGTTCTATGTCATTGCCAACAACCTGCAGAACGTCTGAAGGTGAACAAAGAGGGTCCGAGACGAGGCCGGACCTTCTGGAAGTGCACACAGAGGCTGTGCAATTTCTTTCAGTGGGATGTGATGGAACAACAACGACTTTTGCAAGCACAACCAAAGATGCGGCCGAACACAGCACCTCTCAGTTCGGCAAACTCCTGGCAGCCGGTGAGCGACCAAGTGGAGATTGTGGACCTGGTGTCGGAGAGCGGGATCTAAGTAGTTGGACCCTATGCTGCACCAGAGAAAGCCGAAAGAAGGTGCGGAAGCTGCAGGGAAAAGGAGCAGGTGAGTTGTTCCATGTGGAATTGAAGTACCAAGTTTTTCTTGATGAGTGGCAAGATCGAGAAGGGCTAGTACCAATAGAATGTGAACAAGACATTAGAGTGGAATTGCACGCCAACAATAACACTTTCTTGCAGCAACTCTTTGACGATGGAAGGGAGACTCAGTTTAACCGGAGGCAGCGTAGAACACTGAAGAGGGCGATGGCATGCTTTCATGGAAAATCTGGTGAGATAGTGTCGGAGGTGTTTTCGCCCCCGCGAGTGGTGGAGCAAGCTGCACGACATGGTTTGACCCCTGGGAAAAGCTATGACTTGGTCACGGGTTGGGATCTCAGTGACCCTGTTCAGGTGAAGGCCATGTGGAAACAGCTTCATGAAGATAGGCCACTCCTCATAGTTCTTTCTCCTCCGTGCACTGCCTTCTCCCCGCTGCAAGAATGGAATTTTCCAAGAATGAGTGTGAGAAATGCGGTCCGTTTGATTGTCGGAGGTTTGGAACACCTCGAGCTCTCCATGCAAATTGCGAAATGGCAGCATCGTCAAGGCAGATACTTCATGTTCGAGCATCCTGATCTTGCGAAGTCCTGGGAGGAGGACTGTGTTGAAAAGGTTGCCGAGATGGAAGGAGTCTTTCGTGTCATATGCGACATGTGCAGGTTCAACTTGAGAGCTGATGGAGTAGGACTGAATAGGAAGCCAACGGGCTTGCTCTTGAATAGCGAAGAGATGGCCAGGCATTTGAGCCGGCGATGTCAAGGAGGTCATGAACATCAACCCCTGTTGCATGGGTTGGCACGAAAAGCACAGAAGTACACCATGGAGTTTTGCAGAGCTGTGATCCAAGGTCTCAAGAAACAGATGGTGAAGGATGGAGTGGTTCACCGTCCACATGAGATATGGGCGGTCAGCCATGAATTGGACATGGAGGAGGATGAAGAAGAGCCAATTGGTCAAGTTGAAGGAGGCGAAGCCGAAGGCAGTCATCAGATCACGGAAGAGGAAAAGGCCATGGTGAAGAAACTTCACCGAAATGTGGGACACCCACAGCAACCAGAGTTTATACGATACATGCGAGCTGGCAGAGTCAGGCCTGAAGTGATCCGATGGGCAGCCAAAGAATTCAGGTGTGACGTTTGCGAGGCAAAACAACACCCAAAATCTGCCAGACCGGCAACCATCCCTCGGAGTTACCAGCCCAACAAAGTGATTGGAGTCGACATCACCTTCATTCCACAAGTCGGAGGTGGTGGAGTCATCCCGGTTCTGAACGTGTTGGACTGGGGAACTAACTACCAGATGATGGAGATGCTGGAAGGAAAACAACCTCAAGAAGTTTGGGAAGCGCTGCAACGAGTATGGTTTCGAATCTTCGGTGTCCCGGAGATCATAGTCACAGACCAAGGCAGAGAATTTAGCCAAGTGTTTCAGATGGAGGCGGCAAAGCTGGGAATACTCTCACATCAAACTGCTGCGAGAGCTCCCTGGCAACAAGGGAGAACGGAGCGACATGGTGCCCACTTCAAAGAGATCCTGGAGAAAGCCAGAGCGGAAGAAGTGATCACCAATGACCAGGAGCTGGTGGCATTGATGCGGGAGGTGGAGCAGGCAAAGAACCGATACAGCAACAGATCGGGATTTGCCCCTGTTCAGCGTCAGATTGGACAGTGGCCGAGAGTTCCAAACTCATTACTCTCGGATGATCACTTGGACGTTACCTTGGTAGATGACATGCTGGTGGACGACATTGAACGTCTTCACAAGATGCGTCGTCTGGCTCAGAAAGCTTTTGTGGAGGTGAATGCCAAGACCTCCATGCGGAAGGCTTTGCTGGGAAGGCCTCGTCCTTGGGAGAACTATGAGGTTGGAGATTTGGTCTATGTGTACCGAGTTCCCAAGGCCAGGAGGACAAAGACTGGCGCAAAGGAGGCGTTTGAGATCGCCAGCAACAAGGCGATGTGGGTCGGACCTGGGACAGTAGTGGTTCCCGATGGTGCAAATTTGTGGATATCCATGATGGGCGAATTGTGGAAAGTGGCAAGGGAGCAATGTCGAAAGGCCACCTCTGATGAGCGACAAGGAGTTGAGGCGGTCATGCAGGAGTGCCAGGATTTGATACAAGAATACAAAAGGAACAGCAAGAGGGCAGGCTACAAAGACATCACTGGTGAGGCTTTTCCTCCCAATCAGGGAGAAGAGGAAGTCGAAGAAAGCCCTTTGAAGAAAGTCCGTTTCAATGAGGAGGAAGAGGTACACGAAATGCCATATACCCCTGAGTCGCCAATTCCAACACCTGATGGCGAAGAGGCAAGGTCATCAGTGGCAGAACCTGAAAGAGAGGTGAGCAGACCATCTTCAGTAAACGGAGGTGGTGAAAGGATCATTTCATCCAGTACATCGTCTTCTATGCCATCTACACCCTCAGAAGGAGGAAACGGAGCTGGAGGTGGGATGAGAAGGATGGAAGGAGATGAAAATGCAGAACAAGCAGGGCTCCCAGAGATGGAACAGAGCTCATCGGTGGAACCGCCTGAGTTCCAGGAGGCTGTCAATGCTTCTAGGTATCAGGCGAACAGATTGGATGGGCATCCTCATGCACCTAGCGCAGGACCTGTGCGCTGGGTCCGAGGCAGCAGGGAGAGAAATCCATACTTAGCCTTTGAACCAGAGTTCCATTTGATTGCTGCTGGAGAAGATGAAGAAGAATGGGAAGATGCAGAACACCAGAGAAGGTGGCAGAAGCTTCAACAGCGAGAAAATCCCAAAGCGGGGGATTTTTGGAGATATGAACCAGAGACTCGTTCTCTGGTGCGGTGTCATCAAAGTCGAAGAAGCAACAAGTTCAATCCAGTGGGCTGCAAAGATCTACCACTGCC